AAAAAGGATAGATTTCAGCGCTACATTGGGACAACGGTTACAATTCTACCATATATAATCGACTATGTCCGTGCGTGTGCGTCTTTGACACGAAATTCATAGCGCCGGTCCCAGTAGCAGCGAGATATTGGTTCCAAGAAGTGACGTAGAGGGTGTGACGGGAACACTATTGGTGGGTGATAGGAAGTGATATCAGTTGATAATATCTGATAAGAGGCCTCAGAAGGAGGTTGGTTCCAAGATACGATGTAGGGTTTAGGAAAGGAACACTAGGTTGGTGACAAAAACTGCCAGCATCTGATAAGATTGGATAAGGGGCGTCAGGCTCTTTCTTTTGATGTCATTAGAATTTCGGAAGTAACAAAGCACTGTATGTTGCACGATCCTCTGGCCAGATTCAACTTTAACCTGAGCTATTTTCAATTATTTTCCTACATTTTGCTGGAAAATGCACTGTGACGGTTAGGCGTATTTTGCACACTCTACCTCGCCTAAGGAAAGAGTGCCTGGCGAAGCCAGGCCGGCCCGGCGAAGCCGGGCCGTGACAAAGAAGGAGGAGCACCCGGCGGCAGCCGGGTGATCCGACTGGTAAAAGCACAATGGCTATAAGTCCCCGCCCACCCGACAATGTTTCCGAGCGGTTCTTTGACTAATTTTTCCATCCTCTTTCTTTTTTTGTGCAGGGGCCAAACAAGGTTTATTAGTATGTCTGTACGAACGAATATCGTGACGGACAGAGGAACGATTTTCGAAAGACTTCAATACGATAAAATGTTAGTGTAAACGGTAGCATACAGTAACATATAATAGTATTGATGATTGCCTATGACGTAATTATACGAAGAATTTCGGTGGCTTGTGATTTCTGTGACGCGGACAGTTGACATTTCGCCTCGGACTTCTGTCGCTCCGGGTCGCCCTTGATATTCTGTCCGTTTGTTTCGTCTAAGATGGAGGTAGCCGTTTCCATAGTTGAGGAGCTTTGACTCTGTAACAATCAAGTTGATACCTCGATCCTTATGAAAGCTATGCCAAGAAATCCTCTGACTTAAAGTCACATTTCACGATCATTGGGTGGGCCGAGAAATGGGTGGAGACATCTGTCATCCCTCTTTTGCGGATTTCTTCTCTTTCCCTTATTAACCACTTTTAGGGATCTCTTCCCTTTCCCTTATTAGAAGGAGGGATCCACCAATGAAAATTGGTTGTGTGACAAAGCAGTCGTAATACGCCGCGCTGGTGGGCGTGGTGAGCGACGCCGCGACCGGCAGACGAGTTTCCCCTAGCCGTTTGAGTCTGTTTGCTAAAGGGACGGAGTCACGGAGTCCTGTCTCCGCTTGGTACAAGCTCGCAGCTTTAGTCGGCAAACCAATGCACATTGAGAACTTGCCGCGCATCGCCGCACGGTGCCGCGCGCGACGGCGCGGCAAGTTACGATTGTCTTACTCGTCTCCCCGAAAATTCATACCCCAGTGGTAGCGGGCTATTTGTCGCCGAGTGACTTCCATTGAAAGCTAGTACAACTGTCCACAGACTTACCCATCTTCCCTGTTCGCCTGTCTGGCAATGGAATGATGGCGATTTCCCAGCTTCCTAAACAGTCACGTTCAATATGATCAAAAATTATGAATAATCAATGTTTTCGTACCATTCGTCCGGCATAGGGTGGAGCACCAGCACCTCCAGCATCTGGTGGTGGAGCATCGGCGGGTGCACCGCCTTCAGGAGGAGGAGCACCGCCTTCAGCTGGAGGAGCACCGCCTTCAGCTGGGGGAGCTCCACCTTCAGGAGGAGGAGCGCCTTCAGGAGGAGCAGCTCCACTTGCACTATCAGCACTTTTCTTGCCCTTCTTGCCTTTTTTGCTTTTTTTGCTCTTATCCTTCTTCTTTTTCTTTTTCTTATCCATCGATTCCATTAGTTTCACTTTTTCTCTGTGTTGTTTTCTTTGCATAATCATCACTACCAAAACGATAGTGATTGCAATCAGTACGAATCCGACACCAGCAGCCACAATGATTGTCGTCATGTAGTCCGATCCTCCATCCTCCTCATCAGCAGATCTGCAATATGAGGTTCATAAGTAATCGACGTGCAGTTCTGTGTTCCCGGCGCAGTTTGACGACGGGGGGGGGCATTTTGTACTATCATTGCTTCCCTAGTTCCGGTTTACAAGTCTCACTCTGGCGAAACCTGTGAACTCTTGTGAAGCTGGAGCAAGTCTAGCCATCATGGTAAAACCTGTCAACTCGAGAAGAGGCTGCCTAGATAGGTCGACACGTCGATGGGAAGTAGCGAAAGTGCAAAATGCCCCCCCGTCGTCAAACTGCACCTGTGTTCCCTTTTCGACAGATCTGGTCCCATTTACAGCGTTGTTTGCTGGGGAGGATGGGACGCATCGCGGTGCGGGGGGAGGGGGGGCATTTGGTAAAACGCCAGCCTGTTTATTTTTTTCTCCTGTAGCTGTCGCTCAACTTGTTTCCCCTTGCTGCTTGGATATCCCTACTTATGATCTAGTAGGCGAACGTGTCGGCGGGTAAAGGTGCCGTTAACATGAGCATGTCGTGGATCAATTCCCGAAAATTCATAAAAACCCTTCAATCTTTCAAATCAGCTATAGTCTTGTTCGCTGCGCTTGATGATGGCATCTCAGTGAGGCTGACCTTTTGCGAAACGTCAGCCCGTTTTCCATCAGTTGTTGTCGCTAAACCTGTCCAACAACTCTTGGAAAACGGGCTGACGGCTCGCTGAAGTCCGGCCTCAGCAGCACGCCCCACCATCCGCAGCGAGCTAAACTATCGGCGACGCCGAGTGATGAGGGGTTTTGATGGTTTTGTTGGGATATAACCCTCGTTCAAGCTTGTGTGGCGGCACCTTTAGCCACTTTGGCATCTCCATCTGCTGGATCATGGAGGGATATTCAATCTGCAAAAAAAGAGGGGGATCCCTAGCGAGGGGGGGGGTAATATGTGACCTTGAGAGGAACTTCTATAGTCTTGTGCGGCGTATGCTACGGCGCTTCGGAGGACGGGCGAGGCGAGGGGCGGGCGATACGTTTGACGCAGCGCTGGCTCTTTTTCTAGCAATTGTGGAAGGTGGCATGCAACCACACTAGGTGGAAAACGGGCAAGCGCCGCGGCAACTCTCCCCCCTCTGATATGATATAACATCCGCAGTGATCAAGACTACGTGTGCTCCTCGGCTTTTATAGCAGTTCATCGGACGTTTACCCTCCCCCCCCCTCGCCTTGCTCGACTTCGCGGTAAATTTTCGAGAAAATTTGAAAGGTGGCTCGTCGATTGTGGAAGGAGGGGGGGGGATGGGGAAAGTTCTCCTCACCGCCCTGGTTACAGAGTGTATGATCAATATTTTCTATCAGCCTGCCTGTCTCTTCTAATCCACTGTTTTGCCGAAGAGGGTGAGGAGATCCGTGTTGCGGCGACGGCGTGCGGCATTCACCGGTTAGCTGACTTGGCTTACTGTAGCACTTCCAAGTCACCGAACAGGGTCGTGGTGCGATTGCGGTTAACGCAACGTCATATACAGCACCGTATTAGTCACGCAGCCGCATTTCGGATCTCCTGACCTGCATATCATCTTTACATCCCGACTGACGAGCTTGTCTATATCCCCTTCCGGGAAGCAACCTTGTGACGGAGTTCCAGCAAGTTCAAAAGAATTGGCTGTGGGGCAGATATTGGTAGGGGAGCGTGCTCTTCTCTGGTGCTCCGCTGCTACTTTCGTTTCAGTTTCCGTCCCTTTTTTGGGGGGGGGGGAGGAGCGCTAGGCACCTCTTTGAGTGGTTCTTCATTTCCTAGTGAATATTGGCTCTGAGTAGTTAAGCTGGCTGTCGACTGTGGCAGCTTCAAAACTAATCCGCGATATTCAGGGAAATAGGCGGGGCTGACAACCTTGCGTGTTCCTCGTTGAAACGCCCACTTCTAGTACGATAAGGAGGAGGTTCCCCGTTTTTTCGCTCATCCGATTATCGTGGAATAATTCTTCCTTTCTGGCATAAACATGCTGGCAACAAACGCCATTTGATTGCCCTCCCTATCTAGTAGGAGATCAGCGCGGCTGAATGCGTCGGATTTTCACGAGTGTGGTCCAGGACATCCGTGACGCGGCATCGCGCACGAGAAAGCAGACCAAATTCTAATGTAACACCGCGCACGATACATCATTTACATTGCACTTTTCGTGGCCTTTGTTGCCAAACGGTGAACCACTGCCGATTTCCACTGCTATGTTTTGTTCTCATAAATTGGTCACTCACGCCTGGGTTGTGGGTGGTCCCCCACCTCCTTGTGCAGTTGCCGCCGTTGCTGAAATGCGAAATTTCATTGAAAGAAAGTGTGTACTCAAAGAGTTCAGGCAGTAGCAGGGTACTCATGGGGATGGCTTTGGCGCGTCGCCAGCCGTTTCTCCACGAATTGTGGAAGATGACAGAGGACCACAATTGGTGGAAAACTGGCTAGCTCCGTTCCGGACCCCCCCCCTGACACGCCTTAGCGTTTGCAACGAATAAAAATACATGTTTCTGTTGAACTTCCTTCCCCAATCTCAGCGCCACATTAGCCTCCGTCTCCTAAGGGGAGAGAACCTAGGGAGTGAGTGAAGCTATCGCCTGCGAGTAATTGGACTGTTCAGTGGCTTACCCACCATGGCACTTCTTCCCTCCCTGGAAATCGCAGACTCTATGGGCCACTAGGCGCTGACGCAGGATTGCGGACTGATCTCTCTCAGGAAATACAGCGCCAGCTCGAGTGGGCGAATGGGCCAGCAGTTGCACCATATGGTATCGAGGTCATCATATAGAGGTGAGCATGTGCATAAGACAGGTTGCGCAGACGTGAAAAGGGGAATAGGAACTTTGCCTCCGCGGTAAAGCGCTGGCAAAGTCCACCTGGGTAAGGGTGAGGAGGTCCGAGATTCAACAGATTGCCGTTACAAGTGGTGTCACATGCGCAACAAAATCTAATCGGTTTGACGCAAAGGTGCCGACTAATCGGGGAATTCTACTCACTCCAGACTGATTTCTAGTGTCGGCGCTAATCAGATGTCGGGATTTGCACCCAATACACTTGGTATCGCGGGCGTGATGAGAAGAGGAGGGATCGGCTTTGAACAAGGCCAGGAAGGCAGCGTTTAGAGTTTGCGGTGACGCGCTACAACGCACTGTGACACACTGCAACAGCGCTCCATTTCTATAGATGCCAACGCAGCCGCAGACGGGAGTTGATCGGCGCCGCTTCAACAGCTAGGGCCAGTCGATACCAGATTGTCGCGTCTATAGGACTGGAACGCTGCTGCAATTGTATCGCGTTACAACCCGTCGATTTGAAGTCTGTACACTGCCAAAGCGATCAGAATGTCTTTATCGATCAACCATGATGATATGGTTGTGATAATGAACCACTTCACTGTATAAGACCCTCACTGGAACACGTAGCTCGCTTGAAGTAGCATTTGTACACTAGGGAAGCCAAGAAAAGAGAATTTTCTTCCTCGACCTTCGTGGCAATATAAGTTTCACTTAATTGAAATCTGATTAGACATTTTCACTATCAGATTCAACAATATATTGTACACTGTCGCGAAACTTCGCCCCAGCCTTCTGGACGAGCGCTACCGAGTGATTCGGTGCCTGAGTTCAGCGAGATCGTTGATTTCTCCGCCACTGTAGACCACCCTGTTGAGCTCCGCCCGAACCCGGTAATCGAGGGGGTTAGGTCAGGTGACACACTTGGATATTCCGTCTTCTTCAGGTACTCAACGCCTTCCATTCCAAGTAGGCGAGAGTTTTCCAACGCCCTTCGATTCCATGTGCTGGCACCCAATCCTGTAGCAGTACGAAGTTTCCAAGAAGGTACAGGCGACGACATGAAGGCAGGATATTCTCCTCGAGTTGGTCGATGTAACCGTCAGCGTCAGCGTTCACTTTCGCGGGTTCCACGAAGATAATACTGATCTTCCCATCGCAGGAACTTGCGGTCCATACCACCTTGGCGGCTACGGTGAAGATGATGTCCTGAACCGTAGCGGCGGTCTTCCAGATCAAGGAGTGCCGTCTCCAGGTAGCTGTCCATGGGTGGCTCCATACAAGAAGTTTCGCAGCTGTTTGGAGGTGACGTGAATTCCATAGGCCTTCTCCAGTCCGGCTGCGATTGGAGATGACTTCATATTTTGGTGTACATGAAGGTGATGGGCGAGAGCCTGCTCCTGCTTATCGAGGAACATCTTGGGTATCTTCCGCCCTGGTACTCGTATCCACGTCCTCTGTCTGGGCTGCGAAAACTTTGCTGATATGTGACTCGGTCGAAGTGACTTTTTTGCCCCCCCTGTACTCGGGAGAAGGGATCGCGGCGCTGCCGAGACGCAGCCAGCGTTGTTCTGAAGAGCTAAGGCTAGCCATGAGCGTATCAGCAAGTCGTATCGTTATTTATCTTGCTCATCCCGATCTTACCGCGAACTCTGCCAGCAAATGGGGTATAAAACAGCAATAGCTCTGGCCCCCGAACCACCTCTTGACGCCGCGCTTGCGATACAAATGATCTTGCCTGGCTGTTCGAATCTTAACGTGAAAGGGACGGGAAAGCTTCATATCATTTCGGCATGGACTGTGACCTCCGCTTGAATTCACAGTAGGTTCGCCGCTGTCATTGACAAATTGATTCGCATCGAGAGTTAGACGCGCACTGCCGCACGATGCATCGCGTTCCGCGGCGCGGCGGAGTACAACGATTGTCTTGTCCGTCTCCCCCACGCTGTGGTTTTTATCATGCTCACCGCGTCTGGGTAGTGTAGTCATGAGCCACAGCAGTCTCGAGAGGGCCACTGCACCCTTGAGATAATCCGAAATAGTTTTCAAAGAGGATGTCAGCGCCTACAGTTTGCGTCTGCACCATAGTAGCCTACTATTTTTGAGAGCACAGGGACTTTTGGAATGGGTGAGTCACCAGTCACTGGTGGAAAATTGAAGTGAGCAAGGTGGTCCACCTATTGCAGAGTTCGTCACTCCCTCCCCCCTCCCCCCCCCCCCCCAACCACTCAAGATCATTGACTACGAAAACGCCCGCGCGATACTGCGGGGTGACTTTTCTCTGATTTTCATGTAATTCCAGGCACATTCGTGTGAAAATCGATTGCTAATTGTAGTGATACCACCCTACTCCGCTAATATGGTGCAGACCAACAGACAAGGGGAGCATGCAGTCGTCTTCGCTGCGAATACTGGGGCGTTCCAGGGGATGGGTTTGGCGTAGCGCCAGCCAGATTTCCACCAATCGCGGTCGCCCGCCGGCTTTTGCATTAGATGGAGAACAGGTTTGCGGCCCCTCTCCTGTGCCGCTCTGCCCCTCTCCTATCCACTTATGGGGAGACGGGCAAGAGAATCGTAATTCGCCGCTCCTCCGCGCGCGGCGATGGGCGCGTGTTTTCTTAACTCGTGTTAACCTGTCGATTCAGAGCACCGGACTTCATGTAGACCCCGGTCATGTAGACATGACTATTTCCGGTTCAGATTTGCCTGTCATCGCCATCTACTACCTGGACCATCGTCATTTTCTATCGCGACGTCGCACGCGGCGCCCACCAGCGCGGCGAATTCTCTTGTTACATACCCCTACTTTTGCCTCACTTTCATTTGTAAACTCCGGAGAGCTGTTGTCGGTTCGTCCTCGTCCTGTTTTCTGTGGTTGCTTGCATACCCATCAATGGAGCGGTTGGCCACCATGTAAAGCATATGTATCGATTGCAGTCTTGCGATTCGCAGTACTTCCTTTCTCATCGGTCTCATCTTTGCTCCTTTGCGGTTGGACAATGCTGCTAAGGCACCAGGCTGTTTTTTGTCAGAAGGTCGACAAACGACGCAAACGCCATGTTTATACTTCGCGATGTGGTCGCTCCAATTGCGCGATTAAAACGCTAGGCGCGATGACGGCTGACGCCGATGGCGTACGGTTGGTGAAGATTCCTCGAAGCTCTTTTTCGGCGCCAATCAATGGCTGCGGATCGCTGCGACTCGCGCACCCCACATTGCCCGCCGCGCCATAGAAGGACGGTTTGTGTGGTTTCTGTAGTATGATCGCTCTCTCAGGGCAAACGATCCACTAGCGATTTCATGGCGACGAATAAGGCGTTGAAAGATGGTCGATCATACGAGTTCGGTATCACATCTACCTGTTTTGGCAACGACAGAAGCTTGTTGATGCCTCCTTCTGTAAGTTTGGGAGCGCGATAGCAATAGCGCGGATCAATACCTATCGATTACATTATCGGATAAGCCTATCCGATATGACCTTTATAGCCACTCGTACCTCCGGAATCTGCAGACTCATGCGATTTTTGGTTACATCAACCTTAGTCGGCTCTAAGGGAAACGACTACTACGAGAATTCAATCGCCCGGTTCACAGATATTGATTGGAATGAGCACACGCGTGAGATCGATACACTTCCGCAAGCACGCCCTCTTATGGTGTGATGTCCTGAAATGATAACTTGACCTACTTGTGGTCGTTTTAATGGTGGTGATGATTTCCGATACAGTTGTACCTCCCGATTCGGTCGTTCCTCCTGGAAAAGAAAAGGAATTCATGTAGCACTGGTGGCAGTAGCTAGAAGGGGCGCTATGTGTCTCGGGAGGGCAACTCTCCAACTGGTAGTAGCCACATCTTGATGTGACTTACCAACGCTGATGAGCGGTTCCCCCCACCCGCAAGGCACATACCGCCGAGGCATATAGTGCCCATGTAGTGTCCTCAGACCCTTACCTGGTCCGGTTCCGACTGAAGCAGTGGAACCTGCGGAACTCGTAGAACCAGGGGTACTGGCTGCTGTTGAGCCGGCTGCACTCGTTGATATTGCAGTGGACATAGTTCTGAAAGAGGACCATCGACAGCAGGAACATGCGACTGAAAGGCAACGCCAAACCCAACCGGCCTCCAAGGTGCTGATGAACAGAACTAAAAGTGACCGCGCTGAGGAAGCGTTTATTAGAGTGGTTATCCGGGATTGATAAGGGGGGATCACTCTGGAATCTAAACACTTGCGATTTACATTCCTAAGCAGAAATGAGTGAGCGGTCGTCCATCGTTGAGCACTATAATTCCCTTCATTCTCTACAATTCTCTTCATTATATCTTACAGATTGGGGTCTAAATTAGGACTTTTATTTTCAGGGTGGTCATCCCGCAAAAAAAGAAACCGTTGGCAATGCTCGGTGAAGCGATGGAGCGCTGCTAGGCTCCAGCCTATGCCCCTGACACGCCCCATCGCTTCGTTGTGTTATGAGCTGTAGCTGGCATGTCATAGATGCCACAAAACACGTTAATGACGGGTCTTACGACCCACGGGGCAAACAAGCTTTTTTGTCATTGAAGGCCGTTGGCACGATAAATCCCCAAGACGACTAGGATCAATACTCCTGGCAGGATAGAATTCCGCGCCGCTGCATAGCGGTTCATCGAGGAGG